GTATGATGTAAGACCAGGCTGACCTGAAGGTGCAGGATTGCTTGGTACATTTCCCTTTGGGATGAGATTCGGAGAGAATCCTTCCTGGCTTTGGTCCAGAAGCTTGGGCCCTGCATAGAGAGGTGAGTTAAGGCTGACTGAACTTGATAGGGCTCACATGGGGAGGCAAGACAACTCTCTGGCAATGGGGTGGTAAGGGGGAATTGAAAGTCCTCCTGTCTTCTCCATGTGTTTTTATTCCTCTGGGCCTGGAGAAGAGGGAGGCAGAGATAGGAGAGGGCCAGTTTGGAGTAAGGTTGGCATATATTCCCAAGAATATGWTAGCTTGTTTTGGAAAAATCTCTTGGCCGGAAATTGCATGTCATGTCTGCTCCTCAGTGTGGATATGCCACTTCACTGATGGTGTTTGAGAGCCTCTGGAGAGGGGAGTGGACAGCAGACTTAGGCTGTCCCTAGCTACTCCTGACTCCCTTTTGWTACATGGTGTGGAGTGATAAAGGGGTAAATAAAAACCAGAGAGGTGTACATGTGGGGTGTTCCCTGATTCCCAGAGGTAGTTTAACTCTTGTAGTTGTCACAAGATGGTGTTGGGAGGTAGGATTTCTATGGGGATGAGGCAGGGAGAAAACAAGAGGGGAGAATGGATTGGATCAGATCTTTTRTCCAACTAGGGCAAGAAGGGGTAGATGTGGCATTTTCAGCTTTCCTTATTTCACAGCTTGGTGGCTTTGGGTTCTGCAGCTATAGGTGTTCCTAAGACTAGTTACTCGCCATGGCTGTGATAAGATACCAAGGAGCTTCTGTACAGAATAAAACCATGTGTTCTGGACCCCCTGCCTGGCAAGAGTACTGCCCATACCCCATCAAGCTTTAAGATGAGGAGTGAGCCTATTGTAAACTCACCCAGTGCCCTCCTGGGGTCTCTTTCCTCAACCTGGAAGCTGAGTGGAGAAGGGGATATCATTTTTTTTTCCTCTGCCCCAACCCAGGGAGGAGTGAAGGTATCCTGAGCTCAGCCCTAAGTACCTAGTAGGAAAGAGTCAGTGGATGCTTCAGATGCTATTAGAATGAGAGGGTGTGTGTAGCACCTTGGGACCCTGGGGGCTAGAGGGAGAGGAGGAGCCTCTACAGTGGAACTTCCTGTATTGGCTGGCCATGGCCTCACCCCAGGGCTGGGTGAGGCACCCCTGCGTGGGCATGTGTTGGAGCATTTCTTCCAACTCTTCTGGAGTTACTCTGAAGTCGGAGAGGAACTTCAGTATGAAGGCCTGCCCTGTACTCCCAGGTGCAGAGGAGAGGGTGAAGTCAAGGCCAGCAAAGATGAGGCACAGGCTGAGGCAGGTCAGGGTAGGTGGGCCGCTGTCTCCCTCCAGTGTGGGAGTTGTGACTTGCATAATTGAGTGAGGAGTGGCTTGGTGGGGTACCTGATTGGAACTACACAAGTTGAGCAGTTGGGCTCCTGGCATTCTTGGAGCAGAGTAGAAGCTGAGGCAGGTGGAGGAATAGGTTTCAGGCCCCAGGATGTCTAGAAAGAGGGAACTCTGGTCTAGTTGCAATGGACACTTATCTTCTGTGGTGTCTTAGATTTGGACCCCCCTTATCATGGGATATGGGGGTACTTATATTCCAGAGGACCTAATTAGTTGCTCTGAATTCCTGGAGGTGGGTCAAGGACTGAGAAGAGCTGTGGTTCTGTGATCAGTGAGGGTTGGGCCTCCGCGCTGTCTTTCTTGAGGATCATACCTGGCAAAGCTAGCTTGCTGTTTTATTGGCTGGGGCAGGGCAAAGGGGAGCAGTGCYGCACAGTYGAATGGAGGCTGTGGACAGGATTGGGGAAGGGGACAGAGGCAGACCCTGCAGGAGAGGCTCCAGCCACCCTTCTTGGACCTGAAGCTATAAGGTATGGGGCCGGGTGTGAACTGGAGCCATTTCCCAGCTGAGGCTCTTTAGCAATCCCTGCCCTCTTGGAGGATGCTCGAGGCCCATCCCCCCGGACGCAAGCAGTGACGCTGGCGCTGCCGTTGGAGGGGCGGGAGCTGCAGGCGGCTGCTGCTTCCCCTCCCTGGCCTAACGCTGAAATTTGGGCTTCATGTGGGAGAGATCTGCTTACCAGCGTCTGGCTGGGAGTGAGGAGGGACAGCAGGTAATGGGAACACCTAGGTAATAGGTACCTGAGGCCCAAGCCCCATCATAAGTGGTGAGCAGAGGCCCAACCCTGCATTGTGCAGCAGCCTCCTAGGAGTATAGTGTCTGTGTTTCTGGGCCTGGGACCCATACTGGGGGCTAGGAGACTGGGTAAAGGATGATGATGATGTATGAATGTGCGCGTGTGTGTGCGCGCGTGCGTGTGCATGCATGTGTGGAGGAGGGAGCAGTGGTTGAACGGGTGATGTTAGTGGTGAATTGCTGATGCTAGCCTTTGCCATGGTGTGCATAGGTCCCCTGGGACTTAAGCTGCCTTTKGGGCTTTCTGTAATGCCTCCTAGGAGCCTAGGAAGCAAGCACTGCTGGGGTTCGAGTTCAGTCTTCTATGGGAACCATGTCTGTGTATCCTAGGCATACCTATTTACAGCTTATTGAGTATATATATCAAGTTAACGACCCTGTAGCTTTGGAAAATGTGGTCACTGTTTATGGGGCTTCTTTCCTTCCATTTGAGATCAAGCACTTTTTCCCTTAGCCAGCAGGGGGCAGTAGCTGATAGGAGAAAGGGAATATGCTGGAGAGTTTTGAAGCAGAAAGTGTGGGGCTGTTGCCTATGGCTAGGARTAAGGTGTTCAGGAATGGACCTGGCTCTTACCCCCAATATACATTGCTTCTCTTCACAGCCCTCTACAGCTGTGTTTTTTTTGGAAAAACTGCTAGAACTTGTTCTTACTGTACACCTAAGAAAAGTGTCAGACCAGGTGTGGTGGCCCACACCTGTAATTCCAGCTACTCTGGAAGCTGAGGCAGGAGGGTCGCAAATTAGAAGCTAGCCTCAGCAACTTAGCAAAACTGTGCCCTAAAATAAATAAGTAAATAAGGTGTGTGTGTGTGTGTGTTTACTTATTTATTTAAATTTTTATTAAAATATTAATTTGGTGCTGAGGATTGAACCCAGGGCCTCACTTGTGCTAGGCGCACGCTGCACCACTGAGCCACAACCCCAGCCCAAATAAGTTATATTTTAAAAGGACTATGGATGCTTCCCTGGGTTTAATCCCTAGTAATAAAAACAGGGAAGAGGTCAGGCATAGAATTCTGGTGGGTTTTTGGTGCACATCTTTCTGGGATGACTAGAATTTTTAATCTGGCTGTTCTGATCCAATACCCCCATCTTGCAGTAGAGGGAATCCTGTTTAGGTTATCTCCTACCCACAGGTCACTGGGTCTCCTTCAAGGTGGTACATGATAGATGGTAGTAGGCTACTCCAGTCTGAGGATGTGGTCTGCTAGCTTTTGGGAAAAAGTAATTATCCAGGTAACTTCATTCTGTCTTTTCTTGTCCATTAGCTCTGACCTACCTCTCTGACTAGTTATTCACTTGGACTGAGGGGAGGCTGTACCTGGCTGTCCATAGCTTTATGTGGTAAATGACAGGGAGAGGGAAAGAAGTACTGATGGTTGCCTACCCCCATCAGAATAGGAAATGACTGTTCCTGCAGAAACCCCCAGGAATGTTAAGCACTATAAGAGGCCTTTGAAAGAGAGCCTGAGATGCTGAATCCCTAAAACTCTTAACCCCAGCTGCTTACCCTGCCAGCCAGCTGGGGTTCCCTGAACTGATGACCAGCTGAATAGGGACAAGAGATCAGTGTGCAAGAAACAGGGGCTCCTCAGGCATGGCCGGGGGGATGGGGAGCAGGAAAGGACTTCTTGCAGCTGTCAGGTGTGTTTGGGGGCCGTAATGAGGGGTTTGTAAGAGCAGCTGGCACCCTTTGAGAAGGGGCAGAGGGACCATTTGTCAGCTCTAGGAACATGGGGGGCCTATGGGGACTTGATAGAGTGTCTCCAGTCCTCTTAAGCTRTCTGTTTTCTCTGTGGGGTGCTATACAAGAGGTATCTTGTAGCCTGGGATCCTATAGCTTTGTACATGGATCCCAGCAGAGGTCTGGGGACATATTTGTTTGAGACCTTTGCCAGCTGGGAAGGAGGCACCCTGCATTTTGCAGGCAGACAAGGCAGTCTTAGGGTAGGGAGTGGAGATCTTCACACTCCCCCCGCCCTTGCTCTTGGCTGGACTGCCCCCCTCTGGCAAGCTRTGGGCCTCCTATTTCCGTCGGGCACCAGGGTAACAGGGCGACATTAGGGACTGAGCCAGGAGACGCCCAGCCAAGACTGGGACTTGGGGATGGGGGAGGGTTCCTGAAGGATCAATCTGCAGGGTCCGGCAAAGATTCTGGGGTTCATGATCCCTATTCAGGTTATATTCTAGTCCCCAGTCCTAGATAAGCTCTATGGGGGCCTGCAACCCCTTGTCCACACTTGCTATTTGAGTCACATCACCCGCACCATGAAATCCCAGGAGTTGTCTGCAACTGTGAGGGCAGCAGTGGAAGCCAGAGACAGGGGGCCTTGTGTATGGGGAGGCAGGGGGGCCAGTGCGGGTGGCTGGGAGGAAGAGTCCCCCCTCCCGTTCCTGCCGTCCTCTTGGCAGTGATTCAGAAAGGTCCTTTTTCAGCCAGTGTCAGAGCTGCTCAGCTGGGAAGGGAGGGAGGAGGAAAGGCGGGCAGACAGGCAGGCAGCAATCGGGTGGGGGAGCCAGGGAGTAAGGCTGGAGCTGTGGCCACTGCACTGGAGAGAAGACAGAAACAGACAGAGGACCCAGGCTGCAGCCAGTTGTAGAAGTACAGCGGGGCTTGCAGTAAATCAGAGGGGACTACTCTGTTCTTCTGCCCCATTTCTCATACTCATCCCCTGTGTGAGATTTGGGSGACTTGGAATAGACCTCTGGTCAACTTCCCTCTGGGCAGAGCATAAAACTCAGGAGCTGAGGCCCTTGTTCGCCCACTTCCCAGGCCACGGCCCCATTGACCTGATCAGAGTTGAGTTCTGTGGAGATGCCGGCAGCTCCAGCTCGTCGGTTCCCTGGCCTAGAGCTCTCCTTCCCTCTCCTGGCCAGACTTCGGCGACGGCTGTACACAGTGAGTGGGGGGCTAGGGTTGGACTGGCTGGGACAGGGGCAGCTCCTCATCAGCGGCACTTTACTGAGGGGCATAGGAAAACTGGGGATATTGTAGAACACCTCCTGTGAGGGCTTCAGTGGGGGTTCTGGGCAAAGTGGTCTTTCCTTTCCATCTGCTACATTCATTCTGATTCGTATGTGTTAGAAAAGTAGAAGCAGGAGCCCGCTCAAGTGTGTGCTTGTATGTCAGCTACACGTGTCAGACACACATATGCAAAATCTACCCCATGCTGGGGGCCAGGCACACGCAGAATTGGACTGTCTGAACTGGAGGAAGTTGTGGCAATACTCTGCTTCAACAGACAAAGAAATGGGCTGGAGGTGGAGATAGGAGAGGGGAGGTAAACTGTCCAGGGTCACCCTGGGCTTAGCAGTAGAGACAGGACTCGGACCCTGACTCCTTTCTTCTCATTGGGATCCCAGTGTTCTTCCCAGTCTTCCCACACACCCCCTACGCAGCCATCCTGTTCTTTAGGCTGGGGAGCAGGGTGGGGGGTGTCCAGCTGAGCAATTTTTTAGCTGGTGTTTCAGGGAAAGGGTACAGACCAGGCTGTGCTTTCTAAGTAGCTTCAGGATAGGCCCTCTGGGTTTTCCTCAGCCTTGATCACCCATGGCATGACTTTGAGCTGCTTTTGAGAGCCCAGAGGAGGGTAGGAATAGGAGAGCCTGGGGCCCTGAAACTTGGTTGAAGGAAAGGAGAGGAGGGGACCTATAGACTGCTTGCCCTGGTGTGGCAAACTTCTTGAGGCTTAGCTGTATCACCAGTGGGATCACTTTGCTCCAGGGATAAGGCAGTGATGATGGAAATGGTGGTGGGCTCTGCTTGGCCTGGCTACRGGGACACCTGCCCAGGCCAGTGGTTTTCATAGTGTACCTTTGGGCTTTATTCTGGGAAGCAYTGATGCTCATCCACTTAAATGTCAAACCCCCATTTTTGCTGAGGATAACAAGTTAATACAATTAAAAGTTTAGTAAGCATAGTTTTGAAGTGTTGTATTTTAAAAAAAAATCTTACTCTTCTTAAATACAATAGAAATGTAACCAGTTTACTGTATGTAGTATCAGATAATCATAATGCCAACTTTATTTAGGAGAAATAAAATGGAAGTAGTTGACAATATTTTATGTATTCAGTATACATCTGTATACTGAACACATAAAATATTGAACAGCATAGGAAGTTGTCAGATTCTAAGACCTCAGAAAGGCAATGTCTACAAGTGCTGACAGGAAAGTTTTGAAATAAGGGTGGATTGCCTTCACTGACATTTTTCTAAATAGTAGGCTTTTACTATGTTCTGAATAAAGCAAAATCTAATCTTCTTTCAGTTTACATAGTAGTTTCATTCAAGAAAAACTCAGTGCGTATTGAAACTGTGAAAATACTTTCTTATACCTGTGTAAAATGGAATTAGTCTAGGTGTGGAGGATTATGAATGTTTTCTACCTGCAGGAATTAAGTTATGTGGGATTTGGGACAGTGTTTATGACTGTCCTGTGCATTGCAGGATAACTCATGTTTGTATCCTCCAGACACCCACTAAATGTCTCAGTGTCCCCCACCCAACATTGTAACAACCAAAAATGTGCCCTAGAGGGATGTGCTTCCCTATGACAACCATCCAAATAAAGGGTTACAGCTTTAAGTTTGGAAACCACCCGGCTGGCCCAGCTGCCTGGCTCAGTTGCCTTGGTGGAAGAGCCAGGGTTTGAACTGAGGGCTCCTCATTCCCATTTGTCACTCTTTGTGTTGCTCTAAGCTGCCTGGGAAAGTCTGAGCTCTTGGCACTGAGTTGGCAGGACCACTGGGAACTGTGGGGGCAGGAGGCTCTTGCTGGGYCTGGGTTGTAAGTGCCTGTTTCTCTTGGTGCATCTTATTGTTCTGAGAGCTGGGGATGAGGCCACCGCTAGGTTGTGAAGGGAGAATTGCTTGGCCCTCAGCCGGACAGCTGGCCTTTTCCCTCCTGCCTGTATTCCTCATTGGAAATGCAGTAATGGTCAGGGGCTGGCCTGACGGACCTGTTTTACTTGGACAGGGTTGGGCCTGCTGTCTGGTAGGTCAGCCTGTTTAGTTTTGAAGGTGCCACTGGCCTTTTTCTCTGGGTCTGAGAGTGTAGGTCAGAGGTCACTTACTGGTACTCATTGGCTGATTGTGGCCTGAAGATGTTTTGTTTTGCCAGCACAGTGTGTGTGTGTCTGTGTGTTTTTCAGACTTGAACTAGTTGACATCATTTAAAAGTTAGGAGAGGGATAAAAGTGTGATATGAAATCAAGAAACAGAACAGTGTGGGTAATGTGTGAATATTTATTTGTGAGAGGGRAAAACAGTTTCAAGGGGTACATAAAAGGCATTATTAGCATCTGGCCTTGAGAATAGGGAGATAGGTAGCTGTGCAGTAGGGGAGGAAATAATAAGACTCCTTTGTGCCTTTTGATTATTTTACTATGTGCATATACTACTTTTAAAAAAGAAATTGAAAAAAAAACTGCAAGATTTTACGTAAATTTAGGTGTCTGATATTAAATAAATGGAAAGCTTTGATAATACTGGGCCACAGTCTCTTGTGACAACCATTGACAGGAGCTGAGCTGAGGTTGTCTGAAAGCCCACTCAGATCCCCACCTGTCCCACTTTGTGGCGTGGCCCTGAGTGGTTGCCTGTGAATTGGCCTTAGAATTGGTGGAAAAGGTCTGGTGATATTAGGCATTGGGAGGAACTTCGTTTAGATCTTTCTGTAAGATAAATCTGATCTAAGGAGCCCATGGATGGGTATCAGGACATTACCACCCCCCAAATTTTTTAATTTAAAAAAATTTCCTTTTAATTTGTGATGGGTTTCTTTTTATATCAAGGTTTTATTTTTATCTTTATTTTTTAGGTGTAGTTGGACACAATGCCTTTATTTTATTTATTTATATGTGGTGTTGAGGATCGAACCCAGGGCCTTACATGTGCTAGGTGAGCACTCTACTGCTGAGAAACACCCTCAGCCTTTAATAAAAATTTTAGGAGTGAAAGTAGGTTTTTGGGCTGGGGATGTGGCTCAAGTGGTAGCGCGCTCGCCTGGCATGCGTGCAGCCCGGGTTCGATCCTCAGCACCACATACAAAGATGTTGTGTCTGCCAAAAAAAAAACCTAAAAAATAAATATTGAAAAATTCTCTCTCTCTTAAAAAAAAAGTAGGTTTTGTTTTCTGAAGAAATAATATATAGTTTTTAATCAGATTTTCAAAGGGCTTTTAAAGACCTCTGGAAACTTAGAAGCAGGTGAGGAAATTGAGCACAAAGAAGTGATTTCTGGTCACAACAGCCATAGATCATATATGTTGTGATTAAGACTCTGACTCCTGACTGTTCCAGGGCCAGGGCTATATCTTAGCTGCTGCAGTTCTACCCTTGTTGATGGCAAGAATAGGGACATATAGGTATAGCTGTTTTGGGAAGCAAGCAGGTGGTCTCAGTTCTAGGCATCTATATAGTAAGATGTCACTTTGCCACTTCCCTTCATCCCTTGGTCCCTGAGCCATTTTTCCTTTCTCCACAGAGGCTGGGGAGCAGCAGCATGCAGCCAGAGGAGGGCACAGGCTGGTTGCTGGAGTTGCTGTCTGAGGTGCAGCTACAGCAGTACTTCCTTCGCCTTCGGGATGACCTCAATGTTACCCGTTTGTCCCACTTTGAATATGTTAAGAATGAGGACCTGGAGAAGATTGGCATGGGCCGGCCTGGTAGGTGGGACATTTGCCTTCCTTGCTTTTCCCCTCTGACCGTTAACTTCTTCTGTCTTTTTTGGTGGTACTAAGGATTGAACCCAGGGCCACTCTTGTTGGGAAAACATATAACGGCAGCAGCACCCCAGAGAAAAACCCCAGCATGGCGTCTAACGACCCTCTTTCTCCTCTTTGCTTCTTTCACTGCCGCGAAATGTTCCCGCCCGTGCCAATGTTCAGACCCTGCTGGTGGGAAGCCTTGGCCCCAATTAGAATTAACTTTTGGGGCTCCGGAACTGACTTATGGAAGAGCTTGCCAATAAACAGGTGACCTGTTATCTACCTCAGCCCTGMGACCTCTCCTTAGACCTATATAAACACACAGCCTTTTGTAATAAAGCGGAAACCTCTTTGGTGATCTGTGTCCTGTGGTGCGGCTTCTTCCAGTCTTACAACTCTCCCACTAAGTTACCTCCCCAGCCCTTTTTCTTTTGAGACAGGGTTTTGCTAAGGTGCAGTGGCTGACCTTGAACTTAAGCTCCTTCTTTCTCATCCCCCTTAATAGTACCTTCTCTGTCCTTAGGACGGCTGAGCACATGTTAGAATCCCTTTCTCATGGTTCCATGGGGTGGCAGCTGAGACCTCTGTTTGCCTGTTCCAGAGACCCTGAGGTGGAGTGGGAGGGGCATCAATAGATGCTGCACACAGGATTCACTGGGAACAATTTGCAGTTGTAAAGGTCAATCAGTTTGAGGAGAATGTAGTCTTAACTTGAGGCTCTGCTACTCAAGAGTAAATACATACCCCTTTTTGTTTGATCAGATATTTGTAGGATGTATTCCCTTACCCTTTAATAAGCACAGATTTGGACTGTTCTGTTTACTATTCTGAATACTAGTGGGGTCAGTGCCCAGAGATCTAAAGAGAGAAGATAGGATAAAAACTTCCCTCTAATTTGAACTCATTTCTCTGTTTCTCTCCTTAAAGAAATGGTTGTAGCATCTAGAAGTCATGGCATTCTTCAGAGAACATTAGAAACCTATCAGTACATTCAACTTAAAGTAGCTAGGGTAGTAATGTGCTAAAATAGATATCAATTTATACTGCTTTTAGCTTGGATAGTTGGTTTCTGATACCAGTAACATAAGAAAATTTTATGAGAAGAAAACTAAAAATTGAGAAAATTTAATCCATTACCTTGATTTTTCTTGAGTTGAAAAGACTGCTACTATTCAATTTTTGTGGTTAAACACTTCCATCTAGTTTGGGAACCATTGCCTAGAAGTGGAATGCAGTGATCATCTGATTAATGGAAACTCCTGGCAGGTTGAGATTGATTTAGTTAGTATCATTGTGGTGGGCAGTGTCTAGTGATGGGCCTACTCCATGAGGACCGAGGAAGCCTGCGAGGAGGACAGCGGCCTCTCCAGGGAGTGAGAGCTATCTAATAACATCTGATCTCATTCCTTCCTTGCAGGCCAACGGCGRCTGTGGGAAGCTGTGAAGAGAAGGAAAGCCATGTGCAAACGCAAGTCCTGGATGAGCAAGGTGGGTGAGTGAAGAGTGGGGTCTGGGCAGCCTCAAGAGCCTCACTCTGCTGCCAGTCCTAGAAACCTTCCCCCATTCCCCAGGCAGGTATAATCTCGCTCTGTTTCCCTATACTTTGTACTGACCTCCCTCCTCCAGGGTCTTATCAAGCAGGACAATTGTAGAGCTGGCCAAGACAGACATGTGAGCAGCCTGTGTGCAGCAAGGTCTTCATAGTCCCTCTTGGCGTGTGGGAACAGGAGCATGTTGACGGTGCATCTCTATTTGAACCTCGTTCTGGCTGAATGTTGGGGCCAATGGCCTTTCTTGGGGCCAGTGGCCTTTCTTGGTGTGCGGGTGGTAGGGACTGTCTGGACATCTTGCCTTGTTTCCTCTTACCCACCCTTTTTGGTCTCTAGGTATCTGTGGTCATCTGGCCCTATCATAACTTCCTTGTGGCCTCCCCGACTACCTTGTCCTAATTTTGGTCTGTGGTGTAGTCAGTCCCAGGTCTGACTCAGTGGAGCTTTGCCCATTGTCTAGAAGACAATGAGAGAGGAAATGATCCAGCTGGGGCCTCCCTCCCTACTTCTGGCCTCAGGGCTGGCGTAGATTGGGGGATGGGCAAGACAGAACAGCTGGACTGGGATTGGGCAGTAGAGATTTCCTGACTGCAGTCTGGCAAAAGGACTGTCTCTTGGGATCCTGTGGCCTTTTCTGGGGACACAATTCTGGGCCTGGCCCAGGTTTTAGAGAAGGATGAATGTCTTGGGGCTGGTAAAGGCAGGAAGGTGGAGCTTTGTATATACTGGGATTTGGGGTCTCCCATCAGCTCACTGTAGGTCTCTGGGAGGTCTGTGATCCTCTCCAGACTTTAGTTGTGTCTTCAGCAACAGTGCTAGTCCCATTACCCAGCTCATCTTGCAGGGCTTTGGAGAGCCTAGGCTCATCCTGGAATTAACKATTGTGAAGGGCCTTATAAGATGACATTGCTTGCAAACATAAGGAAGTCCAGTTTACTGGCAGGAAAGATGGAAGAGGCCAAAAGAGACCCTCAGAATTGAGACACCTCCTAGCACATTTAGATAAGGTTCCATTAACTTTTAAATGGGACAGAAAGAATCTTCAGCCTGAAGCCATACCCTGGTACCCCAGTGAATGTGGCTAAGTCAGACTGACATGCCACCGCTGCTGTTACAGCTTTTTTCCTCCTGTCCTCTGACCTTTGGCCCCTTCCTCTCCAAACTGGACCTCAATGTCTCCTAGTCCTCATTCTTTTTCAGATCTTAATTCTAGGCACTCCTCCAGAAACCCAGCTGTCTTCCCAGTAAAAAAAAAAATACACACACACACACACACACACACACACACACACACACACCACACACACACACACACACACACACACACACACACGCACACACGCACGCACTCGCTGTCTCGCGCTCGCGCGCTCTCTCTCCCTCTCTCTCTTTCTCTCTTCAGCCTCATACTAAAATTATCCTCTCCCCTGGGCAGTATGAAGGGCAGCCGACTCCCTAGGGAGGGTGGAGACAGACAGCGCCAAATGGTCAACCCAGAGTAGGGGCCAGGGCTAAAAATGGACAGAGAGGTGTTTGTGGARGGCCCCTCAGGCTCCTGCCCCATCTTTGTGGGTTAAGGGCTGGAGTCTGTGATTGGTAGGGAGTGTAGGAAGGGAGGGGTGGAGCATGAGGAAGCCAGGGAGGAGACTCAGACTTAGGAAGCAAAGTGCCTGTGGCTTTGTGGTGTCTCAGTACCCACGTATGGGTGTGGGACCACCACAGTCCCTGGCTGCATGCCAGTCAGTCTGTTTCATATATTTACCATGAAGCCACTCTGCTGTGGGTTCCCTGTAGGGGGTGTGATATGGAGGGAGTATGGACTTCCAGCCAGTCTGTCCTCTGGCAATATAATTCAACTTCTCTGAGGCTGAGCTGAGGTGCAGGTAGACTTAGAAGGGTGGGACCAAGTGACTGGCTCTGGTGCCCTGGGTTCCATCTTGCTCCTGGCTGCCTTCAAACAGGTATTCAGTGGAAAGCGRCTGGAGGCTGAGTTTCCCCCTCACCACTCTCAGAGCACCTTCCGGAAACCCTCGCCCACCCCGGGGGGTCCAGTGGGCGAGGGGCCCCTGCAAAGCCTCACCTGCCTCATTGGGGAGAAGGACCTGCGCCTCCTTGAGAAGCTGGGAGATGGCTCCTTTGGCGTAGTGCGCAGGGGCGAGTGGGATGCCCCTGCAGGGAAGACGGTGAGCTCCATGTCCCACCGGTGGTGTTGGAGTGGTGGGGCCCCTGAGACTACTAGTAGAGGCTCTTTCCCCCTCTGCTGGGTTGTGAATGCACTTGGGGACAGGTCATATAGAGTGGCTTATCATGGAGTCTGTGCTCAGGGTTAAGTAAGTACATTGTTTCATTTTTTTAATTATAAAAATAATTTATTTATTATAAAAGTTTGGCAAYAAATCAAAAGTCTTAAAAAAATTGCCTGTAATCCCACCACTCAGAGGAAGCAGAGTTAGTGTTTCTGCCTTTTATCCTCCCTCCATTAATTTATTTGATTTAGTTGACTTGTACTTCTTTTTCCAGTACTGGGTATTGAACCCAGGGGTGTTCTACCATTGAGCTACATCACCAATTCTTTATATTTTGAGATAGGTTCTTGCTAAGTTTCCCAGGCTGGCCTCAAACTTGGGATCCTCCTGCCTCAGAGTCCAGAGTCACTAGGAGTGTAGGCAATCCTGGTGCCACCACGCTCTAGTTAAATACTTAACCACTGAGCCATATCCCTAGCCCTTTTTTATAATTTATTTTGAGACAGGGTCTCACTGAGTTTTTTAGGACCTTACTAAGATGTTGAGGCAGGCAGGAGGACTGTGAGTTCAAAGCCAGCRTGGCTTTGAACTCAACAGTCCTCCTGTCTCAGACTCTTAAGCCACTGGGATTACAGGCATGCACCACCATGCCCGGCCTCTAGTTAAATTTTAGATACAAACTTTGGATATAGCTCTTTAGATTTTATCCTTTTTCCTTGGTGTTATATTTTAAAYGTTTTTCCCCTAGGGGATAACATGTGCACTAAAGCATACAATTAAGTGAGTTTTTACTTATGAATAGAATCTATGAGCACTGACCAATTGTGTGTGAGCAATTACCCACACCCCAAAAGGTTCTGAGGCCCCTGCCACTTAGTATCCCCATCCTCCAAAGGAGGGTAGTCCTACTTCCAGCACCGTAGGTTAGTTTTTGGCATTGTATTGAAAGTAGTTTCCTTCCATACCAAAGACTTTTTAAAAAATATTTATTTATTTATTTTTTAGGTGTAGATGGACACAACACAATGCCTGTATTTTTATGTGGTGCTGAGGATCGAACCCGGATTCCACCTGTGCTAGGCGAGCGCTCTACCACTGAGCCACAATCCCAGCCCCCATACCAAAGACATTTTTAATAGTCTATCTTATTATAACATGTTAGTATTCTGTCATCATATGGGTCATCTCTTACCTTAAGGTTTCTATTTAACTTAAGGTTGGAATTTCCCAGAAGGGGAGTCTATCCAATGGCTCCCAAGGGTCAGCCAGTAGTCTTTCCCTCTCCAGACCCTGACAGAATGTGTAAGCCCAGCACTGGTGACATGCCCATCCACCCAGGCGGGTAGATCTGAGGCAGGGATTTTCAAGCCGAGTTAGGGGGAAGTATAGGTTATAAGAGTGTTGGGGGCCAGGCAAGTCTTGACTCCCTACAAATCCTGCTTTGGCCAGGTGAGTGTGGCTGTAAAGTGCCTGAAGCCGGATGTGCTGAGCCAGCCAGAGGCCATGGACGACTTCATCCGGGAAGTCAATGCCATGCATTCACTTGACCACCGAAATCTCATTCGCCTCTATGGTGTGGTGCTTACACCACCCATGAAGATGGTGAGTGTTGTGGGAAGGAGGGGCTGAGGACAGGAAGCTGCCTGTAGGTTGTGGTCCCCCAGGTGTGCCTCTCCTACTGCCCGTGTTGACAGGGCTCCCCAGATCTACCTGATGTGACAAAGGAGCTCATAGGGGCCCAGCTCAGTACTTGTTATATCATTTCTGGATTTTGCTATTGCTCATTGGCAAAGAGTTATATACCCATGGGAGGGGCTGACCGTATATTAATTTTTGGAATTTCTAGCCTGAACCTCTTTGGCCTGCTTCTTTCTCTCTGAGCCTAAATTTCCCCCATTGCCTGGAAGGAGAGACCTGAAAAGCTGTAGGACTTGGGAGGTTCCTAAAGGAGAGGTGTTTAATCAGCTTTTTTGCTGCTGTGACCAAAAGACCTGACAAGAACAATTATAGGAGGAAAAGATACTTAGGTACTCACAGTTTCAGAGGTCTCATTCTGTAGATAGCTAGCTCCATTCCTCTGGGCTTGAGGTGAGTCTGAACATCWGGGTAGAAGGGTGTGGCAGAGAGAAGTGGCTCAAGACATCACACTAGGAAGCAGAGAGAGAAAGAGAGACCTCTGCTTAACAAGGACAAAATGTGTTCCTCAAAGGCACACCTCCAATGACCCACCTTATCCAGCCACACCCTACCTACTTCTAGTTAATCCCATTGTGGGATTAATTCACTGATTGGGTTAAGGCTCTCATAACCCATCATTTCACCTCTGAACCTTCCTGCATTGTCTTACATTTGAGCTCTTTGAGGACACATATCTAAACCATAACAAAATGTTAGGAAGAAACATTGAGTGGGCTGTTCAGAGAGGGGTTGGACTCATTCAGATTTATTCCTCCTGTTTTCTCTGTGGCATCAGGTGACAGAGCTGGCACCTCTGGGATCTTTGTTGGACAGACTACGTAAGCATCAGGGTCACTTCCTCCTGGGGACTCTGAGCCGCTATGCTGTGCAGGTAGCTGAAGGCATGGGCTACCTGGAGTCCAAGCGCTTTATTCACCGTGATCTGGCTGCCCGAAATCTGCTATTGGCTACCCGTGAYTTGGTCAAGATTGGGGACTTTGGACTGATGCGAGCACTACCCCAAAATGATGACCACTACGTCATGCAGGAACATCGCAAGGTGCCCTTTGCCTGGTGAGGGGCAGGTGCTGCTGGCTCAGAGGGTGTGGACCCACCCTGGTCCCAACCGATCCAAGCCTAAAGCTTTTGCAGCCCTTGGCTCTGCCTGGGCCTGCCCTTGCCTGTTCTGGGCCTGGAGTGTCCTTATGTAGGGTACTGGAAGGCACAGGCATAAATGCTATGGGCTCAAGGCTGTGCTACTTAGTAGAGTATTAAAAGACTTCCTAGAGGATTCAATGTTAAGGTCCTAAAATATTAGAAGGTTAACCAGGCAATACAGGTTGGTAAGTATGTTTTAGGTAGAGCTACTGGCTGGCAGGGCCAGACTGAACTGGGCCTCATAGGCTGCTCACCTGTGTGCTGTGGTGGCTCCCAAGGTTGTATACCATATGATCAAGAAGTCCCTGACCTCTATGTGGGCTTCTTCTGTGATGAGATCATGTGGTCCCCTAAAGAAGAATAGTCTTTATGATAGGGGGAATTTGTACAGTTGTACTTGCTAGAGCTTTGGGTGTGGGCAACTTTGATAATTCAGGATATATGCTCACCCTGGTTAATAACTGACTCTGTACCATGGGTAACCATATATCCTGGATTATGTCTGGAGTGATTAATAGCATCCTCTCTTGTATTCAAACATCCTGATTTGAGTGATAAATTATGAGGTCACCTTTTTTTTGGGTGGAGGTGGGGGTGTGGTATACCAGGGATTGAACTCGGGGGCATTCTACTATTGGGCCATTGTATTTTATTTAGAGACAGGGTCTCACTGAGTCGCTTAGTGCCTCACAGTTGCTGAGGCTGGATTTGAACTCGCAGTCCTCCTGCCTCAGCCTCCTGAGCTGCTGGGCTTACAGGCATGTGCCACCACACCTGGCATGAGGTCATCTTTTTTTTTTTTTACTACCCCTTGAAACAACCTTGTGGAGTGCATAGGTTATTATTCCCTTTTCACAGAAGAGGAAAATGAGGCTTAGGGATCTTGGGTGACTCTCAGAATTCCATTTTGAGAGAATCCCATGAGAGATCTTTCTATTCCATCCAAGGTGCATGTTCCTCATTCTGTACCTCAGTGCACCCTGGGAGACCCCTTTTCTAACTTCACCATAGTGCTGTTTCTCCCACACTCAGGAGTGAGCACAGGGTGAGTGTGGGTGTGTTTGGGTAAAGCCAAAGTAACTGTTTGCACCCATTTTATTTTTTCCCCAGGCTCTGTCTGAATTTTCCATCCATACCTTTATGCTGAAATGGTTTCAAAGCCTGTGCTATTCCACAAAGCTAGAAATTGTCATCCTTCTACCAGAGAAAATAGCATGAGACCTCATCATCCCTTCCTGTTTTAGGGCTTTCTGACCCCTTCCTTCTCCCTGTTTCCCTGACAGGGAAACCCCTTCCTCCTTCTCTCATCCCAGGCTTTATGTGAATAACAGACCTGAGTATAGATGATTTTTCCCAAGGTTGTGCATCATATTATCAAGAAGTCCTGCCCTTCTCTGTGTACTTCATACCATGTTGAGCCTGGCACATAGGGCAACAGTAAATGCTTATCAGATCAGTATTTTATGTCCATTTGGGTTGATGCCAGTAGAGGCGCTCAAGAGCCCTTCTCTTTGACCCCTCCTCTGCCAGGTGTGCCCCTGAAAGCCTGAAGACACGTACTTTTTCCCATGCCAGTGACACCTGGATGTTTGGGGTTACGTTGTGGGAGATGTTCACCTATGGCCAGGAGCCCTGGATTGGCCTCAATGGCAGTCAGGTGAGGAGCTGTGGATGTGTTCCCTGTTGGATGGGTGGGGCGTAATTCTGTCCCTGGTTCCTAGCCTGGTCTTTTTGGAATTGTCTGATATCTGATGTACTCCCTCCTATTTCATACCCCATGTTAGTTCCATCTATAGAGAGCTGAGCAAAGAGAGGGATCACCCTAGTAGATCAGGGGAGAGGAGAAGTGGGATTGGCTCTCATTCATTAGTCTTTGCCACATCCTGCTGTTCTGAAGGCACAGGCCTGGGCATAATGGTCTGAGACTCTGAGGATGGGCCTTTCCCCAGCAGATTTCTTCTTTGGAGGATAGATAGGGTAGCTAGCAGTTCCAGTTCTAGGATGGYCTGGAGGGAAGGTGGGAAGTAAAGAGCTATCTATCCTCCAACTATGTACTGACCCACCATCAGATTCTGCATAAGATTGACAAGGAGGGGGAGCGCCTGCCCCGGCCTGAAGACTGCCCCCAGGACATCTATAATGTCATGGTCCAGTGCTGGGCTCATAAGCCGGAAGACAGACCCACCTTTGTGGCCCTGCGGGACTTCCTGCTGGAGGTGAGGAAGAGGTCTTGTCTGCTCATAGGATCTGGGGTATCTAAGCAAGGAATCACCTGAGAGTTAGTCTCAGGGTGGTCAGTGACCTGTCTTTGTCCCTAGGCCCAGCCCACTGATATGCGGGCCCTTCAGGACTTTGAGGAACCTGACAAGCTACACATCCAGATGAATGATGTCATCACTGTCATTGAGGGAAGGTAGGGCTGAGTCCTGCACTGGGATTCCTTGAAGAGCACAGGTTGGATGGGCGTTCCTCTAAGGTTCCCATGGCAGCACTTGGACTGGTGGCAGGCCTGAGTGTCAGTGTGCCATGGCAACTGGCCTGAATCAGCTTCCTGAGAGAAAGGGTCAGGATGTGGATGCTATAGTTCAGATGGGATTTTTCTTAACTCTGCCTCTATTACCCTTGTCCCACTGGGCCCCAGACCTGGCTGTGTAGATCAGGGGCAAGCTGCCATTATGTTGAGGAGTAGAATGTTTCCCAGTCTAGTGTTAAGGCCAAAGCAAGCAGAGCACTTGACTCCTGGGGTATTCTTCCTCTCATCATCCCTCTCTGCCTTTCTTTCTTCTTCAGCATAGACTCCTTTCTTTTTTTTTTTTTGGTCTGGGGATTGAACCCAGGGGCATTGTACCACAGAGCTACATCCCTAGTTTTTGGTTTGTTTGTTTATCTTTTTTTTTTTTTTTTTTTTTTTTTTTTTAAAGAGAGGAGAGAGAGAGAGAGAGAGAGAGAGAGAGAGAATTTTTAATATTTATTTTTTTAGTTCTCCGCGGACACAACATCTTTGTTGGTATGTGGTGCTGAGGATCGAACCCGGGTCGCACACATACCAGGGGAGCGCGCTACCGCTTGAGCCACATCCCCAACCCCTTGTTTGTTTATCTTGAGACAGGATCTGGCTAAGTTGCTTAGGGCCTCACTAAATTCACAGCATAAGACTCTTGACGATCCACCCAGGTGTGTCTCAAGACCCAAAAGCAGCCTGTCCTTGCCTAGGTCCAACTTTGTCAGCTGCCATCCATGTGGACATCTTTTTTGTCTGCTTCATATCATTTCCACATGGCCCTCTCCCAGGGCTTCAGAGTCTTGGGTTTCCCTCTGTCCTCAGCTTGGGACTTTCTTCTTCCCATTCTTCCAAGTCACCCTTTTCAGGACTGTTTTTCAAACTTCCTTCCTGCCCCCCACTGGCTAAAACTCAAATCTTAGACTCACACCTGAACCCCCTGTTAGTAATTCTAGGGCCTGCCTTGGAGGCCCCGCCCTCTTCTGGCTCCACCTTTTGTTATCTGATCCCCAGGGTGTCTGAGGAACTGGTTAGGGCAGGCTGGAGATGCCTTTGGGGCAGGGGCTGAGTGTTGAGGACTGGGAAGACTGAGGCAGAGGGAATTCCCTGTTCTGTCCTCTTCTGACACAAAATCAGGCAAGGATATGTGTCCCACAGAACCCTTTCTGCCTGGGCTTTGGGTTGGTGGGCCTGTTGGGGCAGTGGTTAAATCTTGTGTCCCATGGGGACTGGCCAGTGGAGTAAGTCTCTGGGTCTGAGTCTGAGTGGTGGAACAGGCCCTATATTCCCTTTTCCTCTGCCCCAGGTCAGGGCTCCCTCACCTTTGAGCCTAGTATCTGGGATAGAATGACATTCTAGCAGGTTGCAGGAGTACATATGGTTGGGGAGTTAGTTGTGGTAGAATAAAGCAGAAAATTGCTAGGAGAGACCTGGAGTATAGGAAGAAACAATCTGCGGGTTTATAGCTGAGTTGGCAAGGAAAGGGTTTATAGGCTTGGCACTTTGGAGAGCAATGTGGAAATAGGAAGATTGAGGGTGAGCCCTCTCTGGAGGTACCTAGCAGGAGCTTAAACCATAAGTTTGGGCCTCAAACCAGCAGGCTGGTGGGAAGGGTAACCCCACTCCAGAGAGCCTTCGGCCTGACCACCCCTCCTATGCTCCTGTAACTCCAGATTTTTACCACCCCTATCTCCTCTCAGGGAGCCTGGGGGTGACTCAGGAGCTTCCTGTGTTTCCTGGGTGTGTATCTCTGGAGCTGGCGCCCTGGGTTACTGTGAGCAAAGCAGGCTGCGGGAGGGGTTGGGGGAGCGGCTTCTCTTGGAAGGCTGTCTTAGGTGCACCCTGTCCCACCCTTCCGTCACAGGCTTTGGTTGTATCCAGCAGCAGGTTCTGCCACAGGTTGCTGCTGTCACCAATGGTTCACCACACAGGGCTCCTCCTCCTGGGCCATCAGCCTTGACTAGGACAACAGTGCCTGCCCTGGGTCCCTGGAGCTGCTCAGGAGGTGGGAGGTGAGGGGCAGGAGGCCACAACAGCCGGTGAGGCTTTGGGAGTGGGCCTTTGTGTTGGTGGTACCAGAGCTTTACCAGAACTCTGCCCCCTTGTTTTCTCAGTCCCTGAATATCTCTTTGTTTGTTTGGCTTAGTCTGTCTCCATGTCCTAGGGTGTATGGGCCATTTGTGTCTCTGTGAGCGATGGTTTGCATATGAGGGCCTCTGTTTCTCTGGCTCTTACCTCTCTCCTTATCTGGGCTCTTCTCTTGGTTTTTGAATCCCTCCTTGCTAAAGCCATTTTCACTGTGTTTCCTAGTTCAGAGCCTGGGAAGCCACTTGTCTGTCTCCAACTCTGACTGATTCTGTAGGCTCAGTGCTTCTCAGAATGCCAGGCAGTGGGCAGAGAATACACCTTGGTGGTTTGTGAGCTGAACTTAGGCTTTGTCTAGAGTTGGAGGGACAAATGATGACTGGTCTTTCCCAAAGGATCTTATTTAGAGGGTGGGATGTCTGGTAGTAGTCATTTTACATTCTATTTTTACAGAAGTGATAAAGGGCTCAGAATTTGAAATCCATTTTCAGGTCCTTGGCCTGGCCTGGCCTTGAGCCTCTACTTTCAGTGGAGGTGTGTGTTGGGGAAGGCACTAAATATCTGGGTTATCCTGGGAGGCCAGAGGCTCCCAGACACAAGGGGCAGGGATAGGGTGTGTGTGTGTGTGTGTGTGTGCACGCGCGCGTGCCTGCGCACGCTTAGGTGATGATTTGTTAAGCCATTTCCGAACTACCTTAACCTGGATAAGAATTTGGTGCTGAGATTTCTAAAGCTGGGGCATCCTTAGGCAGTTCTCAGCCCAGGCCATAGTTTCCTGTCTTCTCTGCCCTAGGGGATCTGTTAGGAAGCCTGAAGGGAGGGCAGCAGGAAGTAGAAAGTTCTCAGTGAAGGTGCTGAACCCTTTTTTCACTCACCCCGGGCTTTCTCATRTGTCTGCTTCATTCATTGTGGATGGCTGGCTTGGCCCTCAAATCAGTGTGGAGATTTTAATCTGTGTATGACAGGAAGAGAGGGTATGGCTGGAGCAGGCTGGTGGGAAGGGCTAGCCTTGGACCTGTGGGCTGCTGGCACCTTGGTCCCACTGAGCCCCAAAGGCATATGTGGGATGTAGCATTGACCATCTTGGAATGTTCATTTGAGCCTTGTAAGGAAAGAATGCTGCCTCTGAGTGTGCCTGGGTACAATCCCAAAAGACTTCTCTTCCTCTTGTAGCAAGCATGATTTTGAAAAATGATGTTGGGACTCTCAGTGGCCATGGGATTCTGGCCTGGGCTGTACCTGTAATAAGGGCAGGTGGCTTTGGTGTCTTCTTTCACCCTTAGAAGTGGATTCAGAAGGAGGCATCTGTGGGAGGAGCTGGGCTGTGTTGGTAAAAGGAAAGATGTAGAGGGAATGACCTCTAAGTGATCACTTCTAAGGAGGTGTGGAGAACAGTCCCACAGCCGCCCCCAGGGTGGCAAGGGGCTACCCTATAGAGGGCACCACCAGAGAGCCTGTGGTATTAGGGGGAGCAGCACTGGGGCCTGTCTTTCTAGGCTGGTGCTAATCTGCCAGCTTTCATGGGTGGCTCTGTGTGGTGGGAAGCCTTTTTCTCCTACTTAGAATGGCCTTGCTATTTTCAGATGGGTCTTGTCCCTTTTTAGGGTACTGTCTTCTCTTCTTCCTTCCTTTCCTGCCCTTCCCACCCTGAAGGCAGGGTGTAATCACAGGGTTGCTGTGTCTGGTGGTGGGCCAACCAGGCAACCTTGTTTACAAGGAGGCTAGCTGAGGGAGCTTGGCACCTCCTCCCCTGGCTCCACTTCTCACCTCCCTAAGGACTTCTGTGCTCATGCGGTGTGAACATTGGTCTCTAGGACAGGCTGTTTTGGGGGTCACACCATCCCAGCTGGGCTGTATTATCTCAGGGTGCAGTGGGTCCAGGTGCTCAGGCATCATCCCTTCCCCCATTCTCCTCAACCTCTCTGATCTATTGCATTTTGGAGGATACGTTTTGTGTGTTTCTGGCTGTGGGACCGGTGACATGAGGGTGAGGGAGTGACAGGATAGGCAGCATGGTGCCACATGTGTCATAGCAGACCAGATTSTGCCCATGTCACCAGGTATGAGAAATTCTAACAGTAGGTACATACATCTCACAATCTGTCATAGCTTTKGGGGTATTGGAGTGTCCAGAGGATACCTCTGTTCTTTTTAAAAAAAAATTTTTGTAGTTGTAGATGGACAGTATATCTTTATTTTATTTGTTTACTTTTATGTAGTGCTRAGGATTGAACCAGTGCTTCATGCATGCTAGGCAAGCGCTCTACCACTAAGCTACAGYCCTAGCCCCGAGACCTCTGTTCTTTTCCACTTGTCTGCCTGCCTGCCATCCTAGCCCAGGCCTGGTTTAGGCTACATCAACATAGGCTTTGTGTCTAAGGGCAGAGAGAGTGAAGGTCTGAGGGTCCCATAGTCTGCCTACATTGTGAGTTCTGAGTTCCTTTCTAGAACTCTCATATTAATACAAGAATAGAACTCCCAAGGAGATGGGCAAGGTGGCAAGGACCCTAGTTCCATAACCCTATCCCTTAGATGTAGGGAGCACTGGCAGAAAGAAGTCTTGGCTTGCCCCAGGTGCTTCCAAATACTTGAAGGCCTGCACATAGAAGATGGATTGTGGTTGGAGGGCTCCAAGCTCAGTGCTAAGGCCCACAGTGCTCCCTTGGTCCTCTGCATCTGTTAAAACTTCTGGAAACTGGCTGAAAAATGAAATCTGATGCCGGAAGAGGACTAGAGCCAGGCCTTGCCAGAGGAGTAGGGAGGCAAGATAGTATTGTGAGAGGAGTTGCTGGCTTTGCAAACTTAATACCTGGATTTGAATCCTGGGTCTGCTGCAATCATTCTGGTAACCATAGGCAAGTTATGTCACTTGTTGCAACCTGTTGCCTTATTTGTAAACTATAGGAAAAGCTGCCTGACCCATCTTGGGATCTTAGGGTAAGACTGTGAACAAACAGCCAGGCCCTGTTCAGGGAGTGGCAGGTCATGGGGGTGTACTTGGGGAGGTGGGATAATGCAGACTGTCTAGTTCTGAAGCCTATCTTTTGTGTTGTTGTTCTGCCAAGATGGCAGTTTCTGTTGGCAAAGAGCTTGGTTTGAGAAGGGCCCCACTACCTGGGCAGTCCCCTGCCCCCATGCCAGGTATCTACCTTGTCATCTCTGTTGGGCAGGGCTGAAAACTACTGGTGGCGTGGACAGAACACACGGACGCTGTGTGTAGGACCCTTTCCTCGCAATGTGGTGACCTCCGTGGCTGGTCTGTCAGCCCAGGACATTAGCCAGCCCCTGCAGAATAGCTTCATCCACACAGGGCATGGCGACAGCGACCCTCGCCACTGTTGGGGCTTCCCTGACAAGATTGACGAGTAAGTACCTGGACAGGGCCACTGGTTCTACCTGGCCCAGGGATCCCAGGATCAGCAGCCCCTTACCACACTACACATAAGCTCTCATGGGCTCCTTACCCTTTGTATTTGTCTTCAGCCCCAGATCCTCGCTACTTTTCCCTCCTGATTTTTATTTTGCTTTAGGGAAACTGTGGAACCCTAAAAAGCTCCACCTGAGAGTCAGGATTCCCTCTCTTCTGTTTTTGAGTTTGTTATATTATTTACTCTGTAAGATGGGCACATTTAACAGATGGGGTTATATATTCACCTATGAAGTAAGGATTGTAAGTATAAGTATACTCTGTTTTTTTTGGCGGGGGATACTGGGGACTTTGAACCCAGGAGCAAAGACAGAGTCTTGCTGAGTTGCTTAGGGCCTCACTAAGTTGCTGAGGCTGACTTTGAACTCAAAATCCTCCTGCCTCAGTCTCTTGAGCTCCTGGGATTAGGTGTGTATTACTATGCCCAGCTGTAAGTATATTTGAATTAGAAAGCATTGCTGGGGGAAGGGCAACAGAATAGAATAGACAATATGATTGATGTATGTACATTCCATGTATGTATTATATGTCAAAATACATTCTGCTGTCATGTATGACTAAAAAAAAATYWTAWRRWAWMRWAWRAYWWAAA